TCCTCCTGTCCTCTGTCTCTCCTCCTGTCCTCTCTGTCTCTCCTCCTGTCCTCTCTGTCTCTCCTCCTGTTCTCTGTCTCTCCTCCTGTCCTCTCTGTCTCTCCTCCTGTCCTCTCTGTCTCTCCTCCTGTCCTCTGTCTCTCGTAGTTGTTGAAGTTTGTAATAAAGACAGTCAAAGACAGGGTCTGTCCCTCAGACCAGGTGTTTTCAGATGTTTGGACCTGGTTGGACATGGTTCAGGTCTGGTGTCTCTGGTCTCCCTCAGCCTCACCCTAAAGGAGCAAAGATCGAGGTGTCCATCAACGATTGTTACGACGGTTCGTACACAGGGAACCCTCAGGACGTCCACAACCAGCCGGGCTTCGCCTTCAGCAGGAACGGACCCGTCAAGAGGACCGTGGTGACCCACGTCCTGGTCTGCAGGTACCACCCCGTCCCCTTGTCCTCTCTAAAATAACTCACCCACCTCCCGTTCAGACCAGGACCGTCTCCTCTGTCCAGACCCAAGAGGATGAAGCCCAGTCTGTCTGAGTTTCTGGACCTGGAGGACGCAGACCGGGACCAGCACCAGAGGACGTACATCAGTGGACACAACCGTCTGTACTTCCACAGTGACTGCTGCGTTCCCATGAGGGCCCAGGAGATGGAGGTGGACAGTGAGGACGAGAGGGACCCGGACTGGCTCAAAGACAAGACCGTGAAGGTGAGTCCACCAGGTCCAGTCCTTATAGGTCTGACCCAGAATCTGTTCAGGTTCTTCTCATCAATCACTTGAAAACACTAATTCAGGATCCATGGATCAGAAGTCAGATTTCCACTTTAATCTCTTCAGATTAAATTTATCAGGATTATAAACAAACAGGGATTAAAACTCAGGTTTTTATTTTTTCATTTCAGCAAATCGAAGAATTCACCGACGTAAACGAGGGCGAGAAGGAGATCATGAAGCTGTGGAACCTGCACGTCATGAAACACGGGTAGGTTTCTAATCCTAATCCAGATGATTCAGTCCTGCTAATCCTAATCCAGATGATTCAGTCCTGCTAATCCTAATCCAGATGTTTCAAACCTGCTAATCCTAATCCAGATGTTTCAAACCTGCTGATCCTAATCCAGATGATTCAGTCCTGCTAATCCTAATCCAGATGTTTCAAACCTGCTGATCCTAATCCAGATGATTCAGTCCTGCTAATCCTAATCCAGATGAAAACTGGTTTTAGGTATAAACTGGTTTATATAAACTGGTTTCAGGTGTAAACTGGTTTATGTAAACTGGTTCCAGGTGTAAACTGGTTTATATAAACTGTTTCCAGGTGTAAACTGGTATATATAAACTGGTTTCAGGTGTAAACTGGTATATATAAACTGGATTCAGGTGTAAACTGGTTTATATAAACTGGTTCCAGGTGTAATCTGGTTTATATAAACTGGTTCCAGGTGTAAACTGGTATATATAAACTGGATTCAGGTGTAAACTGGTTTATACAGTGG